GTCGTAGTAGTAGTCGTCGTAGCAGTAGTAGTAGTAGTAGTAGTAGTAGTAGTAGTAGTCGTGGTAGTAGTAGTAGTAGTAGTAGTAGTAGTTGTTGTTGTTGTTGTTGTTGTTCTTGTTGTTGTAGTAGTAGTAGTAGTAGTAGTAGTAGTTGTTGTTGTTGTTGTAGCAATGGCACTAGTAGTATCAGTAGTATGCTAGCCTTAATATAAAAAAAGGAACCCATAGAGGGGCCCCTTAATGCTTCATAAACGAGCCCGGAACCTGCTAAGGCATGACTGTTGCAAACTCCAAGAGAACCCTAGGGTTTAGGTTTTTATGCTTTCGGTTTTGCAGGGTTTAGACCCTAAACCCTAAACCCTAAACCTAAACCCTAAACCCTAAACCCTAAACCCTAAACCCTAAACCCTAAAGGGTTTAGGGTTTAGGGTAAACAAGCGGGATCTCCTGGATCTCAATGGCTTGCCTTCCGAAGGCAGAGGGGTGGAGTAGACTGGGGCATAGGGGCCCCCTCAAGGGCTGGGTTTAGGGCTGCCTATGGGTTCCTTTCGGGGTTCCTTGAAGGGCTGCAGGACTTCGAACAAGTTTCAGAAGGTGGTTCAAGGTTCAAGGTTTAGGGTTTAGGGTTTTCGGGTTAAGGGGTATCAAAATCAGGGCTACTGGATTGCCTTGAGCCTGCTTGTAAGCTTTCATAAGAATCCTATCAGGGCTCCCGAGATTTGAACAGAGTGAGTAGCCGGTATAATTCGGTATAATCGTAACCCTTGTAGGGCTTGGGGTTTTGGGTTCAGGGTGTAACCTAAGGTACACCCAAGTACTTAAACTGTGGACCTGGCACTGCGAGTCGGGAACGGCTCGTACCTTTTTACAGGCCAGCCGGGGGCAAAAGAAAACGCGATGCTTCGAAACTCTAAACCCCGTCGAACGAAGAAACACCAAACTGCTCGGGGTTTAGGGCTTAGCGCTCGAGAATGTTGATAATCAGTGCAAACTGAGAGGTACTCTGCTGTGTTGGCGTCGAATTCCAAATCGGGGTCGTCCCACTTCCCACAGCTTGCTGTGTTCGCCCTCTGCGCGGAATTCCCTGCCGTCGCCCCGGGTCGATAGAGCTTTACCTTTCTCGCGATCGCCCGGCCAAGCACCGTCACAACTACAAGAGCGATCGTAATGTCAACTGTTGGTGTCTCTCCTCATGAACTGCCTTGAGCGACTCGAATGTGTTCGACAGGCTGAACCCCTAAACCCTAAATCCTGAACTGTAAACCCTAAACCGCTTCCAGCTTTGATGTTTTCGACTCTCACGAGGACTTCCGAGGAGCTGAACTTCGACACCAATGCTTTCAGCATGAGTCTGATCGAGAAGTGAGAACCGCTCAATTAGGGTTTAGGTTCTAGGTCAACTCTGTAGTGGATTCGTCCTCACCATCATGCCTGCTGTTTCGATGAAGCTGTCGCTCTTCGCTATCCTTACCTTCTTGCTCAGCGTGAGTCTCTCGTCCTCATCGACGTGACATAATGGCGTAGGGTTTTGAGTCGTTTTCGAGGAATCCTAGAGAGCTTGGAACCTTTTCGAACCTCCGTTTTGGAGATCATGTGATCACACAGCACACTGTGCGAAGCAGGTTGCAGTGAGCAAGGAAATGGACTCTGGTTACGCTTCGTAACACTAAACGCGATGATGGGCAGACTCTCTCCATCTCTCCGAAATACCACCTCTGAAGACCCTCCATCAAAGACATGGGTTTAGGGCTTCACTTTTAGGGCGTACTTGGAGGATCAGGGGACTTAGTAAGTAGGGTTATAAGTCCGTAAATTGGGGCCCCTACTTACTAAGTCCCGTGAACCTCCCTCCAAGTAGGGTTTGGGGGTGTAATATGGAGTTCAGCCCCAAACCCTAAACCCTGAACCCTAAACCCGAACCCTAAACCCTAAAACCCATATGCTCCCCTTCACCGTCCTACTTTGGCCTGGAATCTACGGGACTTAGTAAGTAGGTAACAAGAAGGGCATAGCAGAGCCACAAGCAACCTAGAGGGATCCAGGAATCCAAAATTGGGGTTATGATCATTACTTATAACTCTATTAAAGTACTGCTTAGTAAGTCCCGTTACCCTCGAAGTAACGGGACAAAAAAGGTTAGGATCCAGGGTACAAAGGGCCCCGTAAACCTCAGTGCTAGTGTCTGCATTGCAACTTGGAAACTCTACACTTGACCCGCTATACCCTAACCCCTAAACCCTGCTTGAACAGTTTAGGGTTTTAGGGATTTTGGGTTTAGAGTTCCCATTCCCTAAACTCATAACCCTACACTTCAAACCTTTCTATATGCGAAGTATCCTTCCTAAACAGCCACAACCCGCCTCTACAACCCGTTATCATAACACCCGTGGAACACTTGAAACAACACTTTTCAATCCTAAACCTTTAACCCCTAAACCCTGAACCCTAAATTCTAAACCCTGAACCCTAAACCCAAAACCCTGAACCCTAAACCCAAAACCCTGAACCCTCAACCCTGAACCCCTTCCACCCTCAACCTTCAACCCTGAGTGCCTCAGCTCTTTTACGGAGGTGCGAGGTGCGTCGGCCCCTACCTGGAGTTTAGGGTTTAGGGTTTAGGGCTTTTGAACAGAGCTGTAAGTATCATAATCCATTCACTTTAGGGTACTTCTATCTCTACTTACAACCTACTTACTAAGTCCCCCTACCCCTAAACCCCTAACCCCTGATCCTTCAACCCTAAACCCTTAAATCCTAAACCTTAAACCCTGAACCCTTGACCCCTAAACCCTATCTACCCATCTTCGTCTCGTGTTTCTCACTCGTAAATCTAGGTCCCCCAGTCTCCCATTAGTGACAAGGCTACCCTTTCTCCTTCTGCTCAGTTTTGATCCCGGAACGAAAGGGCAAAAAGGGTATTCGGTTTAGGGTTTTGGGTTTAAGGGCACTTCGAAGTGTTACTACTACTGTAAACGCCTGATCTTTAGGGGGAGGGGGCTTACGAATCGGTGGTCCGCCTACAGCTGGTAAAGGGAGGTGCTGTAGGCAAATCCTCGTTTAAGAATCTAGGGCTTCAGTTCGGTGGGTTTTAGAGTTTGGGATTTGTTTTTATCGGGCTTTAGCGTTTTATGGCTTGGGGTTATCTCTTGGGTAAAAGCTGCCGTGCCCGTGCAGAAGGGGGAATTGACTCAGGAGACATCTCTATGCTTTATTTTGGGTTTAGGGTTTAGGGTTTAGGGTATTCAGGAAGCATAGCCCAAGCACTGTAGAGTCGAGTTCAAAGCAGAATCCTAAACCCTCATCCGCATTTGCAAATGCTTTCGGAAACCGTGCCATGACCCAAGCAACATCATCATCCCGGCCTGCCTGGGGGCCCCTGTCATAAGGTTTCGAGTTCCTTCACAGAAAAGCTGTCAGAAGGAACCCTACGAATGTCCGAATCACATTGGTAAGTGTTTGGGTAGTTGTCTAAACTAGGGTCCCTTTAAGGGTCCTCTTTAAAGGGCGCCGTGCTATTTTGGGAGAATTGGAGCTGGAAGATATGCTCCTGCAGCTCCAGTGCCCGCCAGCACGCCGTTATAGCACTTGACATAGTTTGTGATCTCAGGGTGCATGTTTTAGGGTTTAGGGTTTAGGGTCATGTTATTGCAGCCTTCCACAATGTCGTCGACTGTTTGATCGGCTCGTGTCTGGGTCATGCCTCCAGCTCCAATACCACGCTGGGCTTGCCACAAGTACGAGTGCAAATGCCGGCGAGTTGATTCAACAGCATAGGCTCCCATGTAACCAATCTGGCGCACCAAGCTCACTGCAAACTGGTACCCTAAACCCTATAAACCCTAAACCCGGGAAGAGCAGCAGGATTCGCTGGTGGCCAATTCGCCACAACCGGCGCTCCCACTGGAGCCGGAGTCTTGGCTTTGGGTGCAGGAGGTGGGATAAGTTGTACAATCACTCCGCTGCCATGAGGGGGTTTCCGAAAATACGGATACCTTATTTTGGGGTCCTTCATAACAAGAATCCTACTATTTAGAGTTCTATATTAGGTTCCCCTGTTTTCGGAAACCCCCATCAGGTGCTGCAAGCAGCAACCAAAACCCCAAAACCCTCAAACTCCGAAGGATTCTACAGTACTAAACCCTAAACCCTAAACCCTAAACCCTGTCTCGGTCCGCTCTTAGCCCGACAGCCAGAAGGCCAAAAGCCCAATAATCAAGAACATTTCTCCGAAACCCTAAAGGGTTTAGGGTTTAGGGTTTAGGGTTTAGGGCTTTAAATCCTGAACCCTAAACCCTAAATCCTAAACGCAGAGAAACACCTGGGATTCCTCAATGCATGGGAGCCAGAATGATTAGAATGACTAGGGGTTCGGCTATGTCTCTCTAGCCTTGTATAGGGCTTAAGCCCTAAACCCTAAACTTTAGGGTGGATTAGGGTTTAGGGCCTATTATAGGAATAGTTGATTCTGCCCCTCGGATCCTTTTGTAAGCACATCCGGCCCTCAGCCCTAAACCGTAAACCCCTAGACCCCTAAACCCCTAAACCCCAAACCCTAAACCCTTAAACCCCTAAACCCTAAACCCTAAACCCGGCCTCGGGTGCAAGCTGCGCCGACTGCGAGGATCGCGGTAAGCTCATCTTATTTCCCTCGTCGATCGTACCGGGATGTGGGTCTTCGGTTGAGTTCTATGCAGTTTCAGAAGGAATCATAGAGCTTTAGAGGGAAGGGTCTGGGTTGCTTTGAGAAAGTGTTGGGGTTGGGAAGAATGGGGACTTCATACACGCCATGGTCTTGCATGGTCTCATGGCTCAGATGCTCAGCCACACGGCTGCGCCCGCCCACCCTAGACCCTCGACCACAAACCTCCCAACCCTCAACCCTAAACCTCTGTACCCTGACCCTAAACCCCTAATTAAACCCTAAACCTCTGGACCCTCAAAACCACACCCCTCAACCACAGAACCCGTCGGGGAAGGCTCCTCAAAGAACACATCGAGAAGTCTCTCTGGCCTAGACCTGACACAAGCCAAAGCCGAGACCGTCACTTGGAAGCCAAATGCTTGAAACCCTGTAACGTCGACACGGAGCTCGGAGCTTTTCCGCTGCGATGCTATTCGCACAGCTTTGCGAAAGGGCTTTGGCAGCAGCCTGTGCAGGAAAGCTTATGTGTTCACCCTAAACCCTAAACCTAAACCCTAAACCCTCAACCCCTTTTCTAAACTGCTAAGTCCTAAACTTCATACAGGTACCGAGGCCGATGGCAATACCGAGCCGGAATTCATGTAGCCCCAAGGTGCCTTCTCCAGGAATATCGTACATGTATATATATATATATATATGGGGTCAGGTTCTTAGTATATTTTCGGGAATTATTTGGTTGACGGCTGTTGGACAAATAAGTGCGATCATCATTCCTTATGCTTTGACAACATACCTAGCTTGACCCTGATCCCACAACCAAAGGGAAGAAGGACAACAAACCCAGAACCATACACGCCCAGAAGGAGTGAACGATCCCAACTGACCTAGGTTGTAAAGCGCTCTGAAAAATACTCCTAGCTGACACCCTCTTCAACACACTTGCGGAACACTTAAAGTGTCCCAGTGGCCTACGTGGCAAGAGACAAACCAACCCCAAGCCACAAACCCCAACCCCCCCAACAATCTCCAGCCTAAGCCCTAAACCTTAGCCCCTAAACCCCTAACCCGTTGTCACACCCCTAAATCCTAAACCCTGAACCCTAGTTCTAAACTCTAAATCCTACACTCCTAAACCCTAAGTCCCTACACCCTGAAGAGCCACCAGCCCAAGGGCCTCGAGCTTGGCCACGGCATCCAGGGCAGCCTTTCGCGCTGCCCCATTGACCGGCAAAGACTGCCAGGGTGTTAGGGCTTAGGATTTTTCAGGATTTAAGGTTTAGGTTTAGGATATTTCAGGATTTAAGGTTTAGGGTTTACGATTTTTCAGGATTTAGGTTTAGGGTTCTGTTTTATAATGGTTTTCCACCGGCTGTGCAGGGTACCTCTAACTTCCGGCGGGGTGGTTTACCATGACGGTTTTTACATGATTCAACGTCTTTGTGTTTTAAGTCGTGTTTTGGTAGGGTTTCAGGGTGGGGCTTCGAAGGGGCGTTTGGAGCTTAACGGCTTCAGTTTTTAGCCTATCGGTTTCAGCTGAAGGTTTTTGGGCTGAGAATTTGGCCTTGAAGTTTGGGAGAAGCTTCTGGAGGCATAATTCCGAAAGGATTTCGGCGGTGTGGCATTGCAGGGCTACATAGGCAGGCCTGGTACTTGATGTGGCTTCGATCCATTCAAAGACCGCTCGGGAACTCGCGGATATCAATTATGCACTCTGCTCCTCTTAGAAGGCTGGCGCAACAACATTCTTGGAGATCCCCTGCGTAATGCAAAGCGAAACCCAGCCAACCGAAAACGCTACCCTAAGTAGATTCTTGCTAGCCCTATCCCTGGTGCGACCCACTGCAAACACCAATCCTACATAGAGTGAAATCACGGGGCGAGCTTTTCCTCGTCTTACAATCTGGGCTGTTCCTGCAGAGAGCTCTTTAATAGCACATGTGGGGCACTCCCTTTTAAAGCATATCCTTGGTCTTAAAGGTTAAAGACCAAGACTCAAAAATGCGTGCGAGACTGTGTAACCATTACGGTCTAGGGTGTGCGGATTGATTGCCGTAATTATATGTGTAAAGTCTTTGGGATTGTTATACACCTCATTGTAGTGCTTTGTTTTCCCAGAATTTACAAGTCGTGCAAGTAGAATTATTCGTCCGAATGATAGCAGTCTATGTGGGTGAATATTGTATTGTTAAACTGAAGCACTGAAATCATTACACCCGGTTTTGATTTCTATCGTTGCCAACTGCTGCTACTTCTAAGAGCTATGCATTGGCACCACAGTGACACCAAACAACCGTTCTGCACTCTGCTTGAAGCCTTAGTTTCTGCAATCTGCCGTGCAAGCTGCTCGATCAAGATTTCAAGTTTTCAAAGTCGACTAAGCTTTGGGGTTGAGGGTTTGGGCTTGTTTCAGTCTAGATCTGGTTGAGGAGTAGTGTTGATGTTTGCCGGGCAGAGATGATAGATTGCGATTCGGGTCGAGAGAGTAGCGCTTTGGTTGCCATAACCACTCTGGTCATTAAGGCTAATGTGATTTATAAAGTACTACATTTGCGATCGCTGTTTCTGATGACAGCGTACTAGTGTCACGCTGGGATTACTGTGATTATGCTAACAGATGCCATCATAAGCTAGAGCTATCACTAATGTTGCTGATCATTGCGGCAGTGTTTGAAATTGCTCGTCATAGTACCCATGTTACTCGTGTTTATTTAAAGCCCTTTTGCCCTAAACCCTAAGCCGCACAACTTTGGCACGACCTGGCCTGGCAAGCTGCGTTAGCGTCCAGGTCCTGTTTGACCTCTGCCTGGTTGGCAACTGTGGCTATAAGCGACCTTATTATGGGCCCTGAAGTAATTAGAATAGGGTGCGAGGGGGTTTGTTGTTGTGTAACTACCATGAAGAACCGCAAAAAATAGTACTGGTGAGTATCCAGGCGATCATGTGGATTTTAACAAACTCCTGTCGGGACCTGACAAGCTTTAGGATGGATTTATCGATGGATGGGTGGATGCAGGCCGGTCAGCAGAGCAGCCCGGGCAGTCGAGGCAGGGAAACCTCGCGTCCCAAGTCCCACAACACACGCAGCACGGACCGGGAGAGTGGGCCAGGACACGGAGACCGGGACCCAAGCCCACCCCAGCCAGAGCAACACAAAGCGGAGGGCGAGGACTCATAGACAATGCTCAGGGGACAGGTCTCTGCTCCAAACATAAAGGTTACACTTTCCGTACTGCCAAACTATAAGAACCCCAAAAGTGTATTCAAAGGTTGGGTATTGGGAACTCAGAATGTGGTTTGAAGGCACAAAACATTGCTACAAGTATTCCTCGGGCTCCCTACATTGTACCCTACATTTCTATATTACGACAGATTAGAATATACCCGTTATGCCCTAAACCCCTAAACCCTAAACCGTTTACGGTTTTAGGGTTTAGGGTTCATCACGTAGGGTCGGGCCTAAACCCTAAACCCTCAAACCCGAAACCCAAGCGCGCAGGGTCTGAACACAGAGGCTTTAATAATTAGGGAGTGCATCTAATCTATAGTAATAATCTCGAACCCTCAGGAAGTACACCCTCATCAAGCCCGTTCAGATGGCCCACAACAACATGATAAACCACTGCCCCTTAATGATCAGGGTACCCTTTTCCTGCTATTCATCTTAATCAGGAGACCCGAAACAAAAAAGGGCAAGTCAGTACTGCTGGAAGACCTCATACCTAAATTCTAAACCCTTAAGCCTAAAACCCTAAAGCCCTAAACCCTAAACCCTAAACCCTAAACCCGTAAGCCTAAACCCTAAACTCCTAAAGCCCTAAGCCCTAAGTCCTAAACCCTAAATCCTAAACCTTAAACCCTAAACCCTACATCCTAAACCCTAAACCCTTATCATAAGAAGCCCGGGATGATCCCCGAGCGCGCGCCTCAAGGCGCTGGGATCGCTCCGTCAGCCGTGAGACTTCGTCCCAAAGTGCCTCGGAGCTTAGGCTTAGGTTTAGGGTTTAGGGTTTAGGGTTTAGGGTCTAGGGTGTAGGGTTTAGGGTTTAGGGGTTCAGGCCTTGCACCTTACAGCTTGGTTTAGGGCTTAAAGGGTTTATTGGTTCAGGGTTTGGGGCGTACAGGGTTTATAGGGTTTAGGGCCTTTGGGGGTCCAGGGTTTCAGTGTTCAAAAATTGCTTTATTGGGCTTTATGGTGGGGGTTTAAAGCTTAGGGTCCAGGCTTTAGAGAACAACACGCAACAAAGGAACTAAGCAAAGAGACATGCAAAATGCCGCATAGTAACCCTTGGCCACAGGCCCGTCTAAAGCACCAGAATAAGTTACTTAGAGGAAACCCTACATCCTAAAACCTAAAAGAAGTGACCCTAAATAAGCCCTGACCAGCACCCCGCAAGTACCGGGGTGTTGGTAAACCCACGCTCAAACCCTAAACCCGTAAATCCAAGACCCTTAAACCTAAACCCTGAGACCCTAAACCCTCAAAGCCTTACAGCCTTACACCATTATTACTTACTTCCCGAATAAGGCAGGGCAATACAAGGTTAAACTTTCAGGTTACTACTAAGTTATAAGAACCCAAGAAGTTTGAAGGTTGGGTATTGGAGAACTAGGGAAAAAGGGCCCAGTCCGAGTCCTGCCTACCGAAGAGAAGAACAAGTCATCGCTTGAAACGGTTTAGGGTTTAGGATTTAGGGTTAGGGTTTAGGGCCGGGCAAGAACGATGCAACACGTCAGGTGCAATGCACCTGGCTGCCGTGGATGTGTCACGCTCGCAACCCATAGCCAGGAACCCTGAGATTAAGCAGTACTAGTTCTTCTTACCCCTTAATTACCCCTGAACTCCAAAAACGCGACATCCTACGACCTAAAACAAGTGACCCTAAATAAGCCCTTACCAGCACCCCCAAGTACTGGAGTGTTGGTAAACCCACGCTCAGACCCTAAACCTTTAAATTCCTAAACCCTTAGACGCTAAACCCTTAAACCCTCGCTGTAGAAGCCTTAATGATTAGAATGGGATTTGGGGGTCTAATATACTAAAACGATAATAAGGAACCACCGAAATATTATAGGGAATTATTAAGGCTCCCCCCATAGTACACCATTACTGCGACGCCTGGAACCCTAAACCCTAAACCCTTAACCCCTAAATCCTAA